GTTTCCATGTGGTTTTCATCAAGGTTATTTCTTGTGGTGAAAAAGAATACAATGAGGCTTAATGTTAAAGAATAATTGACTTTTATTTCCAAATCCTGTTCTATAAGCCTCATTTTATCTTACAATTTAATTCATGAGACAAATCTTATAGCCCTGCATGTAGCGGTTTTATTATCGCGTAAGCCTGGTACATATTAATATTTTTGAATGCATCAGTTTTGCTAGCTTTTGTCAGATTCTCACTTTTTGTCAGATTCGCAAATTTGCCAGTTTCACACCTTTTGTCAAGTCACCTTTCATTAGTTCATCACTTTTCATTAGTTTCATCGCTTTTCATCAGTTTTGTCATTTCGTCATTTGAGATTTTAATTGATAATAGGCGAACTGGTTGTTATAAATTATCTTATAGCAGGTAAAAATATCGGTATAGTAGTATAAATCAATGAATGAATCAAGGGCCGCGGAAGCAACCCCAAACATCTTACAGATATTGATTTATTTTATCGTATTTCACCGATAATCACTTCATAGACAACTTAGTGTAGACATTAATTTACAAACAAGATTATTTTACCGATAATTTACAGACAAGTTCAATTCATGGATAGTATATTTTACTGACAGCTCATTTCACGGACAAATTAATTCTGGCCATTATCATTGGAATATATGGCATATAGTGCAATTTATTAAAAAAAAAAACTTGTGAAATGAACTATTGGTGAGTTATACTGTTTATGAAATAAACTTGTCTGTGAATTAGTCGTCTGTAAAATAAACTTTGTCTGTGAGTTACTTGTCGGTAAATATAATGATTGTCAGTGAGGAACCGATTCATTATTTATTATGTATTTTCGTGCAGAGACGTTATTTTGAATTTTGGCCGGGTTAAACTTAATTCGGGCGATCAATTTATCTATTATGCGTCACATTAAAATCGATCGATTTTTGAAATAAGAATCTTTTACGTACGTACGCATGTACGTGCTCGCCGATTTCGTATTCTAATTTTTGCTATTTTTGCAGAGGTCATCATTGCTGTATAGGTCTTTACGATTCTTTGTAATAATTGATGTCCTGTTATTTTTTGTTCGTTAAATTTTTTAAGGTTTTGAGTTATAAAGAAGAATGTTATGAAGAATCAATCTAAATAAATATAAAGAGTTAAATATATTTCATATAACGATAAATTATATTATAATGAAGTTACTAAAATAGCTACCGAAAGTTTTACGTGTAATAAATTAATACTCCATAGCGATAGTATTTAGTTCGATATAAAATACATAAATATGATAGTATTTAAAGAAATTTTAAGTGAACCAATTTTTATTAATTTATTAATTAAATAATATCATAAAATTTATTATGCATATTTCAGTATGACGCATAAACGACAAAATCTGATGCATCTCAGAGTTAAAATTTAATTTTACGCGACTCAATTTAAACTACACCTATTCTAATTTGAGGTACGACATATACCCTAAATTAACATGAAGCTAATAATGAATTAATATCTTTCTACTACTCACAAAACAAAATTAAATAAAATGAAATCAAATATCTTGTACCTAAATGTCTTATCTATTTAATTAGTGCAAACTAAGTTAACGAAGTTGTACAAGAATATTTGTTCACAAATTTAACGAATTAGAACCTTCCAATTTAATTAGGATGAAATGAATACTCAATTAAGTGAATAAAATTAATGTGAATAAAAATAAATATTCGAGAATTAATACTGTATGAATGGGTTTATATTTTGTATGGATTTCTAGATTTTAATATACCACATTTTCGCGAAATAACGCGCAGGGTGTAATTTCGAAATTTGTGACGCATCTCAAAATCAAATTCGGTCTGACGCAACTCGATTTCAAATTCACATCCATTCAAATTTCACACACAACATATATAAATGAAAATAAATATTTGTAAACTGAGGTATTTGAATTGATTATTCAAGTTCGTGAATCTTTACTATCAAGTAACGCTTCCCATTTCGTTTGAATTAAATTGAAAAATATGAAAACCATTAATTTGTCGACAGTATCCAAATTATTGTCATACAATTCAACCTTGCTTCTATATACATAATTATTAATACAGGCGGCGAAGCCGTCTGCATGATCATTAACGCACCTAGTATCACCACAAAAATTCTGTACGTAATCGGTTGTTAAATTTCAATCTAAGCATAATAACAACAAAATCCACGATATTTTCGAAGTTTATTATTATTATTATTATTATTAAAATTATTCGGTTGTTAAATTTCAATATAAGCATAATAATAACAAAATCACGATATTTTCGAAGTTTATTATTATTATTATTAAAATTATTTATTAAAATTTACTTAATTACCACTACAAATTCTAAGTCGAATTACATTCAATTCAAATATTTAAATGCATTTATTTTTTTTTTAATACACGTATAAACTTTAAATGTTACCAGTAAATGTGTTTTTGTTACGACTGCTCCAAGTTTTTTTTGCTCGTTCGAAATCTTTAATGTCATCCACCATTTTTTTGGATAGGTTTAAAGTTCGATTCAATGCTTCGAAGCCATCTTTTTTATTTGGGAAGATCATTAGATTTTTCAAGACAATCGAGCGCCTAAACATAAAATATATTTATTTATATAAACATGAAAATATAGCGATAATAAACAAAAAAAATCTTATACCTCATGAAGAGCTTTTTTGTACTTAAAATTTCAGATTCGATTCCTCATTATATATGATTTCATTTTCTGGATTCACAAGGTAAATCATTAAATTATTTTGTGCATGATTAATTAAAATTGGTCGAATATTTTCCCATAAAGTTTCCTTTGCTTCCGAAATAAAAAGATACTGAGAATTTCGTTGCACCTAAATTAAAAAATAAGATTAAATTTGAACTTTTTTTTTTTTAAAAAAAAAAAATAATAACAGACCTTTCGAAAAAATGATGCATCCATCTTCCCAAGAGGATTAACAAGGTGTTTGCATAATAAAAATCTGTTTTTTAAAAAATAAGGACAAGAGCATGTCCAATTTTGATGTTTAGTGAAATATTTTTGCGCATTCTTAATGCTATGAGTAGTTAATTTATTCCACTCAGTTTTGAATTCTTTACGCCATGATGGTAATATTCGTTCGTGTAAGAGTAATTAAAATCGATGCAAAGTAATTTTTCAGTAAGGATATAGCAAACAAGATCTATACGTGACTGATTAAACTTATATAAGTAATCTCGTTTTAGCATACGCCAATGAGATTCTATTGACATTGTTGTACGAATTACAGAAACTTCTAAAGATGCAGATAATGCCCATAGGTCAATTTTAATAATGGTTCCTTTGCAGTCATAATGCTCAATTCTTGGTTCTCTATCGCGTTGTTTACTTTCAACATCATTTTTTTTCATCCTTCTTTCAAGTTCACAGCGACAGTTACACCAATAGGTAAATGAAGTAGTCTGATTTGTATTTTTACGGTAAACATATAAATAACTATCTCCTTTTTCACAGATCTTTACGGTCTCAAGTGATAATGAACTTGCAAAAACTTCTTCGGTGTTATTTACTTCTAATTTATTAATTATTCGAGAAATATCCACAGTTATCTCAAGATTCATATGCATATTGCTTTCTTCTTCAACATCCATAAGCTTTTCATAAACTATATATTTAAGCTCTTCGGATTTTACGGCATTTTCTTTTTGCTTGCAAATATCACTTAAAATTTGATCTTCACGTTTTCTTTTTCGGCTTTCATTTATACGGTCTGAACACTCAAAACATGTTTTTTGATTACTTTGAAATGCAATAATGGGTTTTCTAGTTCGACAATATGAACAAAGTTTTGAATTTTCCATTTATGATATTCAAACAAAAAAAAATTTCAACATAAATAGTTATTCTTATTATTACGTATATTATTATTATTATTATTAATAAATATCGTCATTGTATCAATCATTAATTTTAATAAATTTAAAACCCGATTACGTACAAGATTTTGGTGGTGATACTAGGTGGGTCATATCTACCATCCGGCTGAGTTTTTTTAAAAAATTTTATATATAAATAAAATTAAAAGCTGGTTACCGGGTCACTTTTAAAATTTCATGTGAAATATAAATTTTGTATGGCCTTATATTTAAAATACTAGTAAATATAGCAGACTTTGCAGGTAGAAATAATTCCAAAATTGTAGAATTGATCATTAACGTTAATGTATGAATTTGAAGAATTGATAATTTCACAAATGTGGACTTCCGCACTTGTAGAATTGTGGATCAGCAATTCAACAATTCAACATTTGTATAATTGTAGAGCTACCGTATGGTCAAGCATCATTTTCTTTGTTTTATTATGATAAGATGTTAAGGCAAGCAATAATTATTAACTCGTAGTGGCAGGATCTTGAGTTCTAATTAGGTACAACCTAACCTGTGAAACTTGAATATGAAAATTTTAAGCAATCAATTTCGCGTATTAGCGTTAAGAATCTTAGCCTCAAACACTTTTACCATATATGCTGCTAAATAATGGTTTATGAAAAATAAAAACCTCGCTAAATTATATAAGAAATTTTGACATAACTTACAACATCGATAGCAATTATTTGCATATTTGACCGGCACTAATGCTTATTATTATACCTCGTACCTTAACCTTTTTTTTTTTGTACAGGGGTTTGCAGAACCCAACCTATCACTGCCGTATTTCACGAGCCAAACCACCACCCTGTTGTAAAATACTCTTCAGATTTTTTCTAGATATTTTTTCATTTATTGCTATCAATACAGTATTAGCAACGCTCAAGTATAAAACTTAAAATTCTACAGGGGTGGTTCAGCCCACCCCCTAGCGAAATACGGTAGTATGTAGTACATATCAGTAGATCAAGATAAATTTAATCTTTTTTTTTTTATATATCGAAGATAATATATCGATATATATGTTTTTATATCATATCGTAATGTGTTAGAAAAAAAAATAAAATGGTAAAATCTTATTTAAGATACGAGCCTTGGAAAACGTTTGGCGTCATAACTAGCACGACTTCAAACGTTATTTACTCTAAGGACGGCACACTTGCAATCGCTCCAGCATTAGAAGAAGTTACTTTATGGGATTTAAAAAAAGGAATTTTGGTTGGTATTTTTTTTTATGCACCTGTTAATACTTTTTTTTTTGTTAGTACTCTTGGTTAAGTGCTCTCGCATTAGTAAAGTTTTAAAGGCCATTTCAGTTATATTTATGTTATACTCTTTTAGAAACGAAAATGGCTCGACATTAATAATAAAGCAGAAGTGACCGCTATAGCAAAAAATCCAAAAAGTGATGATTATGCTGTTGGGCAAGTATTTTTATAATAATTTTTCCAAAATTTTGTTCATATACAAGTTAAAGATATTAATTACTATCGTATTTTTAGCTATGCTGATGGATCAATTCGAATATGGAATATTGAACAATCAACTTTCTCCCTTATTTTCAATGGTCACCGAGGTGCGGTGACAGCTTTGACATTCGATAAATCTGGTACAAGATTAGCTTCAGGATCAAAAGATACTGATTTAATTATTTGGGATGTAATTGGTGAAGTGGGACTCTTTCGGTAAGTGATTTAACTTACATTTAACTGCTAATAATAGACTATAAACTGTTCATCTTTATTTCATGATTGCTTTTTGTTTCAGAATGCGAGGTCATAAAGATCAAATTACTGCAATTCGATTTCTCTGTAAACCACAATTGGGTGGTGTTATCTCTGAAGAAACTCCTCATGGATACATCCTTTCATCTTCAAAAGATACTCTTCTCAAATTATGGGATCTAAGTACTCAACATTGTATGGAGACAGTAGTTGCTCATCGCAGCGAAATCTGGGATTTTGATATATCAAAAGATGAAACGTTAATTGTGACTGGAAGTGATGATTCTGAAATGAAATTATGGACAATTGATCATGATGTATTAGCTCAAGGGCTTGAATCTGAAAGTACATTAAATGATGAAAGTACTGAGGTAATTATTTATTAATAATACATATTAGCTGCTCTTTTTCTTTTTTTTTAATAATTAATAGATTAAATTTAATTACCGTGAAACTGTGAAACTAGATAAAAAAAGCAATCAAATTTTATGGAAATATAAAAAGAGAATGTAAAGAACGTGTAATTACTCTCAAATTTCATCCAACTGCCAATATATTGGGTGTTCAAGGTCCTGAAAAATATGTAGAAATTTTTCGAATTTATTCATATGAAGAGATAAAAAAAAAATTGATTCGTCGTAAGAAACGGCAGAAAGAAAAAAAGCAAAAGATTGAAAATTCTAATATGGATATTGATAGTGACTTGGTGGAAATTAATGCTAATGATATGATAACATCTTATCGGATGGTTAGAACTAGCGCAAAGATACGGTCTTTTGATTTTTCGACAAAAGATGATATTGCAAAATCTGGCTCGATAGAGGTAAATATTATATAAAAAGAAATATATTAATTTTGTGAGTTTACTTACATACCCCAAATGCTTATGATTTTTCAGATTCTCGTGTCTTTAACAAATAATATACTTGAACTATACACGATGGGTCTTCCCATCAAGAAAAAAGAAAAATTTCTAGAAACTGCCGATCCATCAAGGCTTTATTCTGTTGACCTTTCTGGTCATCGTAATGATATCAGAACTTTAGCATTAAGTTCTGACGATGAGTTATTATGCTCTGCATCAAAGAGCACACTTAAAATTTGGAATATGAGAACTACGTCATGCCTTCGAACAATTGATTGTGGATACGCGTTATGTAGCTCGTTCTTACCAGGAGACCGAAATGTGAGTTATCAGATTTGCTAAATATTTAATGCTTTTAGACTACATTGCCATAATAATTCAAAATAGTTATATTTAGGTCATAATTGGTACAAAAGCTGGGAATTTGGAAATATTTGATCTCGCATCTTCATCTCAAACAGAATCAATTAAAGCACATGATGGTCCAATATGGTCTTTACAAGTTCGACCAGATAAACGTGAGTTGGTGACAGGTAGCGCCGATTCTAATGTAAAATTTTGGGAATTTGATATGTCTCAAGACGGCGATACTACTAATGAACATCGGGTTTGTTCTCTCAAATATTTAATAAATATTTAATAAATATTTAATAAAATATTTAGTAAAATATAATTATATAATTTTTAATTTATTAATTGATGTAATTGATGTAATAGACGGGACCTCGTCATTTAACTTTAATTCACAAGCGTACACTAAAGATGACCGATGATATCTTGTGTGTTCGATATAGTCCTAATCAGAAATTGGTTGCCGTAGCATTACTAGATGCTACTGTCAAAGTATTTTATAACGATACTCTAAAATTTTTCTTGTCTTTATATGGTCACAAGGTAATTTAATATTATTAATTTTAATCAAAGTATTTGCATCATTATTTAATTGTAATCATTATTTAATCATAGTTACCCGTGTTATCAATGGATATATCTTCAGATAATAAATTATTAGTCACTGGTTCAGTTGATAAAAACATTAAAATATGGGGCCTCGATTTTGGGGATTGTCATAAATCAATATTCGCACATCAAGATAGTATTACGAGTATTCAATTTGTCCAAGGTACACATTATATTTTCACAGCTGGCAAAGACAAATTGGTAAAATATTGGGATGGAGACAAGGTCAGTTGATTCTTAAAATTGCTTTAAGTAACAATTACTGTAAATAACAATTACTACAAGTAACAATTTCTTTATAATTTCTTTAGTTTGAAAATATTACAAAACTCGAAGGACATCACGGAGAAGTATGGGCATTGGCAATAAGTAAACGAGGAGATTTGCTTGTTTCCGGTTCTCATGATAGATCTATTAGAATATGGGAACAAACTGATGAGGAGGTAATTGAACATTAAATTTCGATCACGATTTTCTAATTAATCAAAATGCGGTATTTACTTTGGTATAATATTATTTAATATTTCAGCTTTTTTTGGAAGAAGAACGAGAGAAAGAGTTGGAAGAATTATACGAATCTACTTTGACAACTTCATTAGAAAAAACGACACTTGAAGATAATGTAGAGTCAACTTCTGCTGGAAAACAAACTATGGAAACTCTCAAGGCCGGAGAGCGTATTATGGAAGCGTTGGATATTGCTGATGATAATGCTGCAGCTTGGGAAACTTATACTCAGGTAAAAAAGATTTTGGAGACGCTAAATAGTTTTTTTTTCACGCAGCTTATATATATTTTTTATATAGCTTAAAGAGCGAGGACAAGATCCTGGGCCACCACCTAAACCTAATCCTATTCTTGTTGCACTTGGCAATTTAACCGGAGATCAATATGTTCTCAGAACTATTGAAAAAATAAGGTCTTCAGAACTCGAGGAAGCATTATTGGTTTTGCCATTTACCAAAGTCATTTCTTTATTCCAATATTTGGATTTATGGGCTAAAAAGGTAACTACCTATTTTATGTTTTATTTTACGTTTTACAGTAATTATTTATGACGACATCTCTTTATTTACAAAACTACACTTTTTACTTTTAGGAATGGAATGTGGCATTGACATGTCGAATAACATTTCATCTTCTTAAAGTTCATCATGACCAAATAGTTGCAAATCGACTTATTAAACCAAGACTAGAATCTTTGCAAACACACATAAGAGCTGCATTAAAACGACAGAAGGTTAGAATTTAATTTATCATCAATATAATGATTGTATACGTTAATCACATTTTTCTTATTAGGATTTGTTGGGATATAACTCGGCAGCACTTAAATATATTAAACGTGATTGGGAAAACAATAATACAGCAGAGTTCTTTGATGATATACCTAAGAATGAAGAAATGGATTCTGGGTCATTAACAAAACGGAAATTTATAAACTTGACGGTATGACGCTTGCTTGTACTAAAATTTAATGATATTACCATTTGTATAAAAAAAAAATCTTTTGTAATAGTTATTGTCATAATAATTATTTGTTCTATGATTAATAAATTATTAATTGCCAAATAGTTGTGTCACAAATTTGAATATATTTATCAAAATAATTTGACATTATAAATATTTTTTAGATATAAATCGAATTTTAGCATCAAATGACATTGATGTGATTGGTGTGTTAAGTTCATAGAATGGATTCATTAGCATCTTTTCGAATATATGTTAAATAGTAATTATTAATAATTTTTAAGAGAGGATAATTAAGAAGAAAAATAAAATAAATAAATTATCCAACGTACTTTAATATAAAGTTCGTGGCACTCGTTAAAAAAATTTCGAATACCCTCCTCGTTTTTTTGTTCATGCAATAGCATAAATTTGATATCTTTAAAAGATCAAGGCATAATTATAAAATTTTGGATACTTTATTAAAGTCTTTATTAAAAAGGATACTCCCAGCTGAAACAAAGGATGATACATGCCACTCATTAAATTTATCAACAGATTTCAAATACCTATTTACGTGAATAATTTTTTTTTTTATTACCTAAATTTTGTTAATGGCCATTAAATGAACAAAAGCGTACATAGCATTAGAGTGCCATTGTAACTCTTCTACAAGATCCAAGGCAGAATGTACAATAAATTGATTTAAATGTCGGTGTTCGTCTTTCTTTTAAGGTTTTTATATAGTTAATATAGTCCTTTTATTTAAAAAATCACTAATTTATTGAAATAATTACCCTTGAATTTGGATCAATGACAGCACTTTTTGCACCTGTGAAATTAAGATCTAATTCATAAATTGGATTGTCCTTTGTACCTACTATCGCAAAATAATAAATCATTTTTTTTTCTGAAGTAGGATATGCACGGATTCGAAACTATATCTGATATTAATTGTATTACGCAACACGTGGGTTTATCGAGTTTTTATTGGTCAATTTAGAAAAATAAACAAATACTATCGATCGATATATTTATAAAAGAAGTAAATCGAATTTCAGGTAGTAATTATAATAACTTCGAAATTTTCAAATTGTCAAATTTTCTGTAAGAAAAAATCAATAATTCTGTTAAAAAATGTTTGATAAGAAAATTGAGCGTGTTTCCAACTAAAAATGTATAATAGACCCCATATTTTATGAAATGACCTTGGAGTTAAAACGCGTTAAAGTTGAAGGCCATAGCTTCTTATCGGACCTTGTTTTGGGAGAAAGAGTCGCGGTGACTGGAGTAGTATTGTCGTATTCGCCTCCAAGAAAAACTAAGGGCCCAGGTAAAAGGCGCGCTATCTATATGCTTTAGAAAAAAAATATTATTATATTAGGTATTAATTATTTTAATAAATCAATCAGACTGGTCGTGTTCGCTTCAAATAACAGACCCCTCATTGAATGGCAAAGTAACAGTAATCATATTTCGCGCCCAATATACGGAATTACCAGAAGCCAATATTGGTAACATTTTTTTTGGAACTGGTCTCAGGGTATTTAATTTTCATCTTTATAATTATAACCTATCGGTAATTCTTTTTAAATCTGTTTTTTTCTTTGATTCAAAGGTCGCTTATTACATGGATTCGCCACAACTCATTGCTTATAAATTTGAATCTACATGTTCTGTAATTAATGATGACTTAATGAATGATGACCTCAAGATGGATGAACTCTCACACATAATTATGACTTATGCTAAATATCTGCGAAAATGGTGGAATGATATAGAAAATTTTTATGCTGGAGTACCAAAATCGCGTAAATTAACTACAATCGCTGAAATTCATAGTCCAAATATTTTTTTTGACACCATTGCTGAGGTAAAATAGAATCAACTAAAATTCAAACAATGTCATACAATAATACACACCTGTTCTTTTTTATAAACATTTAGGTTGTCGAGATACATAGAATTTATCGCACAACAGAATTATTTATTACCGATTATACTCATAATGAGTTGCTTTCTAACAATGATTATGTTTGGAATCTACCGAATGGACTTGATGCACGTAATATATTCCAAATTACTTTATGGGATGAACATGTGGTGAATAGTGAGAATTTTGAAGCCGGCATGTATGTGTACTTACAAAATATACGAACCAAGTACAATAGCTTTAATCATTTTCAAGGAGTTATACATGGTGATCCAGAAACGCGAAGAACGCGAGTCATGAAAGCTGACAGAAATTCATTCGATGTGGGGGAATTGATAAAGTAAACATTTTCATTTGTCAATTTATTTTAAAATAAATATTTAATAATCATAATTTTTTTTTAGGAGAAAAGAACGTTTTATGCAAAAAATTTCTCCGAAAATCACTCGTAAGTGTCAATTGTTATCTTTAATTAACATAAGCGTATTTATTTTTAGATTGATCGAATTTTTAATTATAGGTGTTATCGACTGCGATGTCAAGCCAACAGTTATTTCCGATATCTTCAAATATGTATGCTTTAAAATTTTTTTATTATTAATTTATAATGTTACATTTTTTGTTCTTTGGTTTAGGAAGTACACAATAAATTTCTCATCCGTGGGCGTATTATCGATTATGAGCCTGACGGTTTTGAAAATTTTATACGACCATATTGCATTGAATGTGATAAAGTGTGGGTACCACAAAATTCTGCAGTAAATAGTCATTTTGATGAATGCTTAGTGATATTCGATATTTTAGTATATTTCCCGATATTAAAGAGGCTAAAGAGATAAAACAATGTCCTGAATGTCTACGTGAAACCACTTTTATATACGAGTTTTTATTAATGATTGAAGATGAAGATGGTTCCGTGCTTCCTACACTAGTCAGTGGGCGTGACGCAGTAAGATTCTAAATTTAAAGCGTCTGTGAAAAATACTAAATGTTATATATAATTCATCCCATACCCTTTTTTTTTTTTTATTTCTTCAAGGTCAGATTTCTAAATGGCATTCTACCAACTAAGTATGTTACAAGATTTTTTTTGTTATTTCGCGTTGGATTTGCTTAAAATTATTACTTATTAATCGGTAATTATGTATCGAAATCAGAGTTATGCAAGAGGAAACTTCAAGACAGGCATTTCTTAACTTGATTAGAAAGTTGCTAGCAAGTGTTATAGATCATGGTGAATCCACAAAATTTTTCGAATTCTGTGTTGAATCTTATTTCGCCTCAGATAGAGAACGACTTTATAAATTAATTAATACTATCTTGGAAATCTAAAATTTTAAATAAAGTATCAGTTGGTTAGATCAATTGTATATTGTAAAAAAAATTTTTTTTTTTGGTATAGTAGTTATAGTTATAGCTATGGTCCATATAACGTCTATATATTCGTTAAAAAAATAAATTATAACTTTAAAATATATATTATATCTATTTCTTATTTATTCTAATAGAAATGCATATATTCTGGGTTTATAGTTTCTTTAGCTCATGCTGTGGTCAGATGGAAAAACAGCGATAGGATAAATCAAAAGGAAATTTAAGACCATACATTTTGTTATAGAAGCCGGGCTATGAAAACCAATTAATTTTGCATGTCTAATTGTCTGGAATGAAGTGACAGACCTTTAATTTCTACGCATAGTGATACAAAAGTTACTTTCTTGATTTAAAATATCAAAAAGAACTTTGCATTTTTTTGTAAATAATTTGTTATGTGAAGCGATTCTACGCTTGGTGATACAAAAGTTGTGTTTTTGATGCATTATATTTAAATACATCAAGAAAGTAAGTTTGAATTTTCCCTTAAATTATGCTCCGGACTTATATCGATATCAGTTTCGGTTCCTAGTTATTAAATAGTTGTTTTTTTGATGCATTTTATTTAAAAACATCAAGAAAGTACTTTGAAATTACTGTTAAACCACTCACGCGATGTTGATCATCTACTTTAAATTATGCTCCGGACTTATATCGATATCAGTTTCGATTCCTAGTTTATTTTCGCTATCTGTTTGGATTCCATGTCGGACTGATCTGTGCTTTCTGATTGGCCATTTCCTTTTTAGAGTAAATAGTCTGTAACTGATAAAAACACATTAATCTCTTATTTATTTCGCCTTATTTCATGTCGTATATTGCACAATCTTTTTTACATACTATAATATATATAATGAAGAAACTTTCAAAAACTTTCGCTAAGACCAACCATAATTGGCTTCTTCAAAAATAATTCAAATAGAAGGCGAACAAATCGAAGAAAAGGTTAAATTTTTTTTAATTCAAATGCTCTCATGATTTAGTAATCAGGATCGAAACAATTTTTACTTCATTTAATAGGAATCCGAAATTTTCTTACAATAGATGCGGTTATGCACCTTCTCTGTAATAGTAATTAAGAAATCGACAAACCCAGGTTCCAAATGAACCCAGAAAACCAGAAAAACTAGGACCGAAACCAGGTCCAAAATCAGGGCTAAAACCATGGCCGAACTGGTACTTCAGAACGGTGTCCTTTCTAAAATCTTATAAAAAGTAACGTATTTAAAATAATTAATAGTTATTGGTAGGGTGTCCAGAATTCTGCTGCTAATGATTGTAAATTATGCTTGCTAATGATATGAAATTATGCTTTTTATGCTGATGATTTTTTTTAAAATTTTTTTTTTTTTAAATTAATAAAATTTTTATTCATATTAATTTAAATTCTCTCAAGCACATAATTAATAGATCGAAGCTCAATTTCTAATTTGTGGAAAGTAGTTAACTGG